CCCCCGCAACCCCCCTCTTCTACTCTGTTGCCAACTGCCTCCTTAAATCCCCACCTCTGACCATAGGCTGCTCGCAGTCCTCCCCAACCGCGGGGTCCCTTATCGCTACCATCATCTGTACCCCCGGCCATGACTCCTCAACTCCTTTTCTCTGCACCCAGCACAGGGTCTAGAATGTGGCTACTGAATGGCACTGAGACTCCTCCCATCCCTTCCTCTGGACCCAGGCAGGGTCTGTCACTCACTGAAAGCCCTGTGATGTTCTTGGCTGTAGTGTGATGGTTATTTTGTGTGTCTCTCCCCACTCACCTGTCAGTGCCATTGGTCTCGGCAGAGTGACACTAAGTGTCTGTGGAGTAGATAAAGGAAAGCTGGGAGAGCAGCTGGTGCAGGATTCAGAATCGAGTAGGTGCGAGTTCCAAGGACTGCAGTTAGGTTTCCAAGTTGCCATAAAAGGCCAAAATGCTCTTGCCCCTTCAGAGGAGCTGGGCTTGCAGTGGGAAGTGAAGGAGTAAGGTGGGGTGTAGAGTGTGAGGGGAGTGCAGGGTCGGGGGCCTCTTAGTCTGCATGGGCATGGTGTGCTCCATGTGTCACGCACAGGGCTTGGCAGGGGGGTGGGGGATGGCGTGTGAAGCATGGGTGTGTGTATAGAGGGATGTGTCCGTATGTGCCCTGCCTCTGCTGATGCTGGACTCTGTGCCTCCGGTGCTGACATACAGGGATGGCCCCCACATGTGGCACAAGGAGCTGCTGGGTGTTTGTTCAAACTGCAAGGCAGGCCAGGGGGTGGGGCAGGCCTCCGGAAAAATGCTGTGTCTTTTAGTTCCTGTGAAGAAAGCAGGTGGTCACAGACAGTGCCCGTTGGGTGCCACCTGCTGCCCACCCTCTATGTCCTTCCTTCCTCCTGTGCTGCCCCCTTGAGGAGTTCTGGTCTGGGAGCTGACTGACCCTGAGTGCCTTTTCTCCTTTCTCTTCCTTCCCACAGTCAGTTCTGAATGTGATCAGTGAGCTGCAGGAGCAGATGTGTAGGTTGCAGCTGGACATCCACAGGCAGATTCAAGAGCGCCTCTTGCTCAGTAGGGACCACCCAGAGGAAGTGGCAGCCGGCGACGGTGTGGCCGGGCCCCAGGCCTGCAGCCAGGACTGTGCCAGCTGGGAGGGGTCACCTGTAGGAACCACACTTAAGTATATCAGAGCATGCGTGTGGGGTGTTTCGCTGGTGGAGGGGTGGGGGTTTTTCCTAACTGGAACAGAGTGCAGTGGCTTAACAGGGATCTATCTTTACCTCTGGGCAGAGCTTGGGATTCACACTCTCTCAGGATGTGAGCTGAGCTCTGTCATCCTCACTGAACAGGGTCTGAGCCAGTGAGGCCAAGCCTTGGACAAATAGTGGTACTCAACTCCGTCAGGGCTGGGAATGAGTCCTGGGGCCTTTGTGCAAAAGGAAGCCTCAGGGTTGCCCATCCCAGGTACTGCTCAGACACTGATTCCTGCTTCTGGGCAGGGACATTAAATAAAATTTCATCTCCTGTGATTATTTTTAAGGAAAAAAAAAATAGCATTATGAAATAATTGTTTCAAGTTTATTTTTAAAGAGGTTTATCCCTAGTGAGAACACAAGTTTCTATTTGCTGTGCTGATTAAATCACTCGCTGAATTTCCAGAGAAATTTCCCCACATAATCACATTAGAGGGATTTCACGACCTCTGGGCCCTGTGGGGTGTCTCTGACTAAGATTCTTGACTTGGACCTTCACCCTGATATGACCAGGTTGAGGCCTGGGGATGGCAGCTGTGCAGATGCGCCTGCCCCCCCAAGGTCCACTATCAGAGGACTTGGAGCCCAAGGGAAAGTTAAGGTCACAGTAGCCATGAGCACTGCAGAGGGTCTGCCTCCACTCTAGGAAGTCACTATGGTCCACACTCAGCTATGGAATATGTTGAAAATCTCTACTCAGGCATTAGGGGAGGTGCTCAGTGGGGAATATTTTCTCTTCCATCAAAGGACACTGGGAAAAATGAGAGTCAAGACGTAAGTACAGATTTAGATAGGGAAGCCCTGAGAAGCTGCTGGGGCATCCCCCATGTTGAGTGGTTACCCCCAAAAGACCTCTAAAGGAAGTTAAAATTTGCTCCAGTGTTTATGGCCGATGGTGGGCAACCGATAGCTAAGAAGGAGAAGCATGTGCCAAAGAGGTTCCAGGAGCCCAGAGATCACCATGCTGTGTATCCCCACAGTGGCAGCCCCTCAGGCAATAGCCTGCACACTTCTGGTTCTGACATCAGCAGCCCTGGCAACCCCTAGGCAGGGCCAGAAATGTTCTCAGAAAATGATCCTGGATCGGCTACAGGTCACAACAGGCCTAGAAATCTATTGCTGCAGATCATGGATACAATAACTTAGCATGGAAGACATTTTTAAAAAAGGGCATCGACAAATGCTCACTTCAGCTCCAGGAAAATCTTAATAAATTATCCTACCAAATTCAAGTGTAAGCAATGCTACTTTCTACTGAATTGTCTCAGAATGCAAAGAGCTCCAGGCCCATTAAACGATGACTTGAATTTCATATGTTCATTCATCAAGAAATAATACATACCTACTATGTGCCGGAGGTTAGCAAAACTTCTCATGGAGTTCAGTGTCAGAGAACTAACCATTAGCAATCACACCGGTAAATGTTTAAAACACCTTGCCGACTAGTCACTAGTATACTCATGTTTCCAAGTCCAAATATTGCTGACCGATCATGAGATAATTCGTGTCTGCTCTTACATTAATTTAAGTAATTTTAAGCACCTTGCTGACCGGTCATGGTGGAAAAGTAGCCGGCCGCACGGGCGAGTTCTGGCCCGAAACAGCCGGTCAGCAAGGTGCTCATTGCAAATGACGTGGGAGACAGACAGGATGCCGTGAGATTAGGGGGTGCTGATGAAGGATGGAGGTTGGATGGCTTTGCTCAGGAAGGCCGGAGGATGGGCAGGAAATAAGCTGGCCAACAGTTGTAGGCAGAAGGAAGGGCATGTGTGAAGGCCCAAGACAGAAAGAGGAGCTAAAAGGTTTCCAGTGAGGCTGGAGCATAACCAGGACACAGGGTAACATGAGTCAGGCAGCGCTCTGAGTCAGGCCAGACTGTGTGGGTCATGGGTTAAAGTTTATGAACTTTGAGGAGCAGGGTTGTGCCAGGATCAGATTTGTGTTTTAATGGCTTTGTTCCCCTGGGGGTCAGTGGATTCAAGAAGGGCGAGATGACAGAGGAGCAAGTGATAAAGAGACTGTGTAGGCTGTCGACACTAGCAGCCAGACCGGGGGTGTAGAGTTGGAGAGAATGAATGATTCACGTTATTTCCTTGGAAATAGAGCTAACAAGGCTTGGGGATGAATAACGTATGTAGGAGGACAGAGAGGGGAGATGCCAAGGATGATTTTATACAGGTGATTTGGTGGATGGATCTGCCATTCAGTGAGACAGGGATGCCGAAGGGGGAGGGGTTAAGAGTTCTACTTGGACCAAGGCGGCCATGAGATGCCATCCACGCCATCCACATGGAGAAGGTTAAGGAGGAAGTTTGTTAGATGAGTCTGGAGTTCAGGAAGTCTATGAAAGTGATCACTTTTATGCTAGTTTTTTTGATAGGAACCAGTCAGCAGGGCCAATTGTCCTTTAAAGGAATGTTGTTTTGGGACAAAGGTGCTTAGTGGTGTCAGAGAGGGACAGGCAGAACAGGTTCTAAAAATAAGCAGAAAGTTTTCTCTTCCTTATGTCAAGAACTCTCTGGCCTTTGTTTTTAAATGGCCGCAGCTTTTCCTGAAACAGCACTGTGTTAATGATTTAAGCCACAGTGTGGAGCATGGTGTGATTGCTCCTGCCCCAGCATCCTCTGTGCACGAGCTTAACCAGGGTTGCAGATCCAGGGAACAGAGTCCTGCTTGGTAACCATCAGACCTTTGTTTTTCTCCCTCATCTCCCTAGGAGTTACTGCAAGAACTCAGGCACCTCAAAATCAAGGTGGAAGAGTTAGAAAATGAACGGAATCAATATGAGTGGAAGCTGAAGGCCACTAAGGTAAAAGGCGGGTTCTCATGCTTATGGGGAGGCACCGATCCCTGGTGGGGGGCGTCTGTGTGCAAACTCTGGGCTTATAGGACCCTGTGCTGGAAAAATGCAAACTGACTCTACTGTGTGCACACACAGCCATGGCCAGATTGTGCAGCAGACAGAATCGACCCGGGAGAACTCTTCTCACGGGGGAAATCCCTCTAGATTATGAGCTGCTGATGTAACTGAGCCTCCTTCCTCTTGCTGTCTTGTAGCACCATCAGCTGACATTAGGCCAAGAAGGGCTAGTGAGTGAGTGAATGATGAGCCCTCAGGCAGATGAACACCGATGTTATACTGGCTCCATCATTTTAGTTTAGCCAGTCCCCTACTAATCAGTTTTTTAAAACAGCATGCTTTATTTTCAGCAATGAATATGTTCCTTAAAAAAATGATATATTCTTTGAATCTTTTTAAAAAATCAAATTAGACTTCTATTGGACTGGGGAGCTTGCTCTTCAAAGGACACCAAAGCCCTGGCCGATTTGGCTCAGTGGTTAGAGTATCAGCCTATAAACTGAAGGGTACCGGGTTCAATTCCGGCCAAGGGCACATACCTCTGTTGCAGGCTCGATCCCTGGTCCCGGTCGGGGCGCATGTGGGAAGCAACCAATCGATGTGTCTCTCTCACATCGATATTTCTTTCTTTCTCTCTCTTTCTCTCTCTCTCAATTTCTGGTGTTCATAATTTACATACAACATTATATCATACTATTAAAAGAACTCTGAACACAATATTGATGTCAATAGTCTATATATTATATTGCATGAATGTAAAATAAATTGCTTAACCATTTTACAGATGAGAACACTGAGGCACAGAGTGGTTAATTAACTTTCCCAAGATCTCACAGCTAGTCAGCACCAACCCTAGGCAATCCAGATCCATCTAGCTACTATTCTGTTTTTATCTCATTGCGTACCCTTGTGTGCACCATGTTTCATGGTCACTGGCTGTAGCAGCACCAATTTCTCAAACAGCTCAGAATCTTCCATCACAGTGCTCCACTCCAGCGAGCCCTGTCTTGGTGAAACCTTTGAAGTTGTGCATACCACCTTCCCTATTGAAATCAAACAACTGTTTTCCTTTTAAATTACCCAAGCCCTTTGCCTTGGCATGTAGACTTTGAGATACCAAGAGTTATTTAATAAATACCAGCTATGGAGCACCTCCTATGTGCCAGAATGTACCAAGCCCTTTGCACACTTTTTCTCATCTGATCCATTAAATAACCTGGTGAGGTCTATGGATTTATTATCCTCATTTTACTGGTAAGGAACCTAAGGCCAGAGTGGCTGAGGTTTGGTTCGGATCTGGATCTGTCATTACAAAACTTGTGCTCTCTTCCCTATACCATCCTAATTCCCTGCAGTAAAAGCCTTCACTGGTTTTGAAAGTTCTTCAGTTTTCTGTGAAAAGCTTCTCAGTCCCTAAAGGTAATTTCTCTTCCAGAGCTGCAGCAGTGGGGTGTGGTCCTGGGTTTAATGAGGCCCAGTGCTTGCTGGGAATGAGAGCACCCGTGTCTGCCTGCCACCAACTCTAGCCTTGGTGGCTATGACAGTAGCACACTTTGTCCTCAGGGTCAAGTGGAGCCTCTGGGCTATTGTTGACTTCCCAGCTGTAGGGACAGGTACCACTCAAAGGATATTAGAGCCCCTGTCATTTCTGGCCTATTGTGTGGAAATTGGCACATGGGAGGTTGGGACCAGCCATTTGGTCTGTGAGGATTTAAACAGATGACCTCGCCCAGAGGCAGACGTAAGAGAGAAGAAACTTCATCTTGCCTAGGGTCTGCCTCGAAAGATCCACACTGCTGTGCACTGTGGGGCCCACAGTAGCAGGTGTCCAGATTACTAACAGGGACCAGCTCTTGCCCTGTCTGCAAAGAAAGGGAGAAAAGTGCGTGGAGAGGTACAAAAAAGGCTTAGAGAATATTTTCCAAGAATAGTCTGGCTCTTGTAGAAATGAGAGGCATTTGGATTGAGGATCTCAAGGGTCAGCTTTTCAGAAGCCACTGTCACCATTCATCATAAGCCCACAGACACCTTGGCCCTGAGTGAGCCATGGAAAGCGGCTGTGTGGCTATGAGTCTCAGCAAGCGGTGTGGCACAGGGGAACTTGGCTCTCTGGCCTCTGGGTTAAAACCAGAGCTTAGGACAGTGCTCTGTGGGAAACTTGAGAGTAAGCAAACCCTACTCTGTGCCACCTCTTCTTGCTTACATGGTCATCTCTGTGTCATTTTGGAGGTGTTAGGGAACATTTATTCAAAAACCCTTGAGGTAGTCTCAGGGAGCCCAAGTTGTGTAAGAGTGGCTCTCATTTGTCCTGTTATCTTAGAAGCAGACCAACCGTGGTGCGTGGGACCCTGGCTTTGGAGCAGGAGGGGATGACATCCTTGCCTGGCCACTAAATGGCTCTGTAACTTGACCACTGAATCTTGCACGATTCCTGTGTTCTCCCTAGTGACATGCAGGGACATTGCTTCCTCCCATTGTTTCCTGTAGAGACAAAAGGGAGGTTTGATGTAAAAAAGTGGCTAGCACAGAGGTCCACGCAGAGGGACTACTCAGTCGTGTGTCCTGAAGCTCTCACAGGCCTGTGTGGCAGAGGAGCCACCAACAGGACCAGTGCTCACTTGGCTACTTGGAGTTGTTGAGAGATAAACCCCAGCCTCTGCGGGAAGGGACAGCCATTCCCTGACCTTGAGGAACAAGGCAGGCGTGACTGGGCCCCACGCGGGGAGCCTGCAGCCAGGGTAGGAGTCTTCGCTGTGTGCTTCCTTGCCTAGCTCAGGGGTCAGTTCTCAACCCCTTACTTTCTGGTTTGATGCTCAGAGAACTACAGTGGTGCCTTGGATTTCGAACGTCTCTGTTGACGAACATTTCTGTTTACGAAGGCGTAAACCCAGAGGGAAATGCTTCAGTTTTCGAACCTGCCTCAGAAGTGGAACATGCCCCGCGGCTTCCGCTGAGGGCAAGATCCTGAGGCCCAGCTGCCGGCTGTGGATCGCTCAGTTTTCCAACGTTTCAGAGCTCGGACGGCCTCCGCAACGGGTGACATTCGAAAACTGAGGGACCACTGTAGTTAGTTACCCGTAAGGGAAGAAATAGGATGAGAGCAGCAATAATATCATTTATTGAGCACTTACTATCTACCACACATTAAGCTAAGTTGTTTGTAACCATTATCTTAGTTAATCCTCTTTACATTCACTGAGGTAAGTGCCATTTTCCCCATCTTATAGATAAGCTAAGACTCAGAAGGATTAACTCACTTTCCCAAGGTCACCCAGTAGGGAGCGAGAGAATCCAAGTTTGTTTGACTGCAAAGCCAGGGTGCCTCCTGGGGTGGGCCCTGCACAGTTCTCATCTTCTAATGGGTATGGGAAAGCATGGGTATAACCACACCTACTGTCAGGTGTGACGTTTAACCTGTCACATGTAGTAGAGACTTGAAAACCACCTAGTGCAGTTGCCCATGTGTGTACATATGCGAATGTGTCTATGCACTGGTGTGGCTGTACTTACCTGCTTTATTTGCAAAAGTATATCTGCTCAGCACACCTGAATGCTAGTGTGTATGTACACGTGGATGAGCGTGCACCGGTGCCCGGAGGTTGGGCAGGCTCAGTGGCTGTGCACAAAGGGTGGGAGAGTGTTTGAGGGAGGCAACTCTTGACTCACTCTTTGTCTGCCAGTAGTGACCTGATTTCCCCTGTATTTCCTGGATGGGGTGGAAAAAGGAAAAATGCGTGTACTTGTAACAATGGTGTACATACATGCTGTTGTATGAAAATCTTGGGAGAAGGGAGACCATGTCCAGAAAGAGGATATCCATTTCTAGACCAATCCCAGTTCCTCCAACCTCAGTGGTGTTTGGACCACAGAGGGCAGGGGAGGGAAAGAGCCTGGTCAGGTAGGAGGATGCTGGAGAAGATCAGGTGGACAGCCAGAGACAGGCGGGGCCAAAATAGTCAGAAAGAATGAGTTTATTGGTCAGAGCTCCACCTTGTGGAGAGGACAGTGAGCACTTCTAGTTGCTCACCTCTGGCACCTCTCTGTTCCTAATTTCCTAACCCGTCCTAGGACCCATTGACTCTGGACTCTGACTTGAGGCGCTTCTTTATGGTTTAGTAGCCCCTCTGAACTGGTAGGGGTCCTCTCTTCTCTTCCAGGCTGAGGTAGCCCAGCTGCAAGAGCAGGTGGCCCTGAAGGATGCAGAAATTGAGCGTCTGCACAGCCAGCTCTCCCGGACTGCAGCTCTCCACAGTGATCATGCAGAGAAAGGTAACTGGTTTGACTGTGACAGCATGCAGTTGCCCCTGAGTCCTGTGCCCTCTCTTAAGTGGGCATGTATGTCTGTGGGTGAGTATGTGAATGCCTATGTGAGTAGGCGTGCTAATGTGCATGTACATGCATGCATGTGTGCAAACATGCCCAAGTGAAGGGATGCATGCGTGTGTGTACATGACTGGGCCTTTAAAGCCCAGCTCTATCGTGGAATCATTGCCATGAACCCCTCCCCTGCCTAGAAGACTCAGCTCTGAAGACTTTTCTCTGATGCATTCTGACCGTTAAAGCTCTGTGTGGCCACCTCTGAGCTTTAGATGTTCACTCAATTGAAAGGACTTGTTTTTGTGTTATCACCAAAGGGGAGGCTTTAGCAATTCTTTCAGTTATTTGATGGGGACCCGTCTGATACTTGTACAAGTTGACAGAAACAAATTAGTTATTGCTCATCCTTTAGGTCTCAACTTAAATGTTACCTCTCAGAAAGACCTCTCCTGGCCACCCTATCCTGTTTTTCTCTATGTCAGTGTGCTTTTTTTTTTCCTTCACAGTATTTATTATAACTTGTCAGTATTGTGTTTGGGGGTTCTCTTTGCATAGACTGCTGTCCTCACTCTGGGGCAGGGACTGTGTCTATCTTTTCTTTTTTCTTTTTTTCTTTTTTTAAATATATCTTTATTGATTTCAGAGAGGAAAGGAGAGGGAGAGAGAGAGGTAGAAACATCAATGATGAGAGAGTCATTGATCAAGCCCGCAACCTGGGCATGTGCCCTGACCGGGAGTCAAACCTTGATCTCCTGGATCCTAGGTTGACGCTCAACCACTGAGCCACGCCCGGCCGGGCTCTATCTTTTCTTTAAGATCATGTCCACAGAGCCTAGCACCATATTCGGCCCATGATAGGCTCCTAAGAAATGTTTCTTGAATACATGAAAGGCTGATGAATGATCCCCGAGGAGTTCAAGCTTTTCTGATTAAAACTAGAAGATAAATCCTCTTATTAACACAAATTTAGTATTTACAGCTATTTGCCTTGTATACAAAATGATCACACATCTTCCAACTTTTCCTCTTAGCTCAGGCTACAGAGATATATAGCCTGGTGGATTGGCCCTATTACTCATCTCATCTCGGCCTCAGCACTGCTTAGCTCGGATCCCTGGCTGGGGTGGGGAAGCCATGTGGCCATGAAATAGTGGCTTAGGCTAGAGAAAGAAATTAGCCACCAATATGCTAATCCCTTGCCCAGCCTTTCTCTTCCCAAGCCATTAAGTGTGTCACCCACTCGTCAAGCCTAATGTGGAGGCTGAATCCCCCTAAGGTAACCTAGATGATCTGTGATGTTAAACCAGGATAGAGATCTCCTCGGTCCATGACTTCTAGACCAGGCAGCCTTACCCCTACGCCCCATGCCACTCCACAATCCAAGCCTTCCAGGCCCTACCCTATTCCATCATCAGGTCCTTTGGTCATTTGCTGCCCACAGCATCAAGGTGTGGCAGTCTTCGTACGGAGCTTACTGCTCTCCCCACGTGCTGGGCTGCAGAGCTGATCTTCAGCTGCCAAGAGCCTAAGAGAATGGGCAAGCACCCTGCACTTCCCTCTGAAGATGAGGCCCTACAGCTATTTAGACAAAGAACATAAATCTGCTCTTCCTGTTCTTGGATATAGCAGGAGTCCTAAAGGCAAATGGGGTGCCTATACCTTTGTTCCCTTGTCCCCTGTACTTTTCTTATACAGACGCCCCTATTCTCTTCGCAGTACCCAGTTTGGGTATGGTTGTGTCCCTGTTTGGGAAATCCAACTATGTGTCAATTCCTAGACCTCCAAATATTTGGCAGAATTACCTCCATCTCCTTTAGGCATTGGCCTTTGACCTGGGTCCCCAGACCAGTTTGGGAAGAAGTGAGGAGAGTCCCTGTTTGGTCCAAAGTGAGAGAAAGCTGTGAACAGTCTACCACTGACTGAAACAGATCCCTCAGTCCACTGGGAAGCCCTGTAGACATATGACGAAACAAGATTGTTTTCCTTAACAGTAGACTTGGTTTTAATATATTCAAAGATGTGTTGAGACATTTGTTAGTTCTGACTATACCATTTTAAATTAAGCCAAGTTATCAACTCTTTTGCCTAACCATTCTTTTCCAGTCTCCATTCAACTGTAGACACCCCC